CAGAATCCGCAGCGAACAAGTCTGCAGATCACGGACCTCCCCTATTGCCTCTTATGGTGGATCTGAACCGCTACTATATGTCGTTGTTTTTTTCTCGAATTTTTTGAAGTCTCCCGCTTTAATCTCTCCCTTTACACCTCTTACCTCTCTCTTGTCTTTTTTATTTTTTTCCTTGGTCTCTGTCACTATAGCGACATTAGGTTCTCATCTTTACTTAATGTATTGGCACTCAGAAAAGAGACAACAAATGGGGTGTGATGCGCCATCCGATGGTGTTGAATTTCATCAACGAGCGCCTTCTTGATTGTGCTTTCTTCTACACTCTCCATGTCTTAGGTAGTTTTTTGCCCTTTTATTTTTCTTTCGTTGTCGATTTCGGTTACAAAATAATCTTTTTCAGCTTTTGGAATATTTCTGTTATTGCTGTCGTCGCATATTTTTTCTAGCACACTTGCTAAGGATATAGCTGTCACAGCCTTCATAGCGTTATTTCTTTTCTTTATGGTAATTGTTTATTGATTATTTGATTTTGCTTCTCTTACGGATTTAACACATTTGAAAAATTTTTCCTAATATGTTGAACTCACGAAAATACCTGTAGAATGTTGGAGTTACTGTGGGAATGGTAACTGCTTGATTTCAGAAACCGGTCTAGAAATGCCCCCCCCTTTTTGCAGCTCGGTTGTGGCTGGCTTCGGCTGTAGAACAAGCTCCCCTTCGAAGAATGTTTCTTAGCCGTCTGAATTGGTTGCATGCTTGCCCCTGGACTACAACCACAACTTTCTCCAGCAAAACTGCGAACTCATTTTGGATTTAGCCGTGATTTTCCAACTGGGTGAAGGGGTAAAGAATAAACCTTACGTCTCTGATGATTCTCTTTTCTGGGGTGCCGCACGCATTCCGCCTCCATTTTGAATCGTAGTGGCTTCTCGAATGCGACATGGCTTTTACAATGTCTTGCGGCTGTGCAAGTCGGTTTTTTTTATTTTCCCAGACAGTTATGGTACCTACTTCTTTTCCCAAAGAAAGAGGGATTCGGTTGCTCTGGACAGGAGCCGGGACCTAGGATTCGATCTCGGGAATGCCAGCGTTGTGTGCGGGTCATTTGCCAGCCCATCACCTACGCCTTTTCAATGAAACCCTCTCAATATTATATCTTTTTTCTCGTTATGTGCTTTCGAATCTAACCCTTTCTTTCTTTTTTTCAATAGTCTTGTTTACTTATTTTTTCGATTTCAGCTTCTTAAAGGAGCTATTAAAGCACGCATCTCACATTCGATCTCATTCTGGTTCGTAATAGCTTATGCTTTTAACTTGGCCACCTACCTGGCTACTTTCCTCTATGTTTGGCTGCCGACGTTTTTTAGTTATGATGATTATCACGAGGAACTTAAGGTAA